GTTTTTTTTTTTTTTTTTTTTTTTTTTTTTTTTTTTTTGAACGAAAAAAAGAAAAGAAAAAACGCAATAAAATTAATCGATTTTATGATTTTAAAAATAAAACTATCCGACCTGCCGGATTCGAACCAGCGACCTAAGGATTTATCCGCAAACACTACAGTCCTCCGCTCTACCAACTGAGCTAAGGTCGGATTGATAATGGGGACGATATTATAAAGTTTAATAATAAATAACGCGCTAATGCAACATGGTCGACATTCCAAACTATTTTTATAACAAACTACAGTATATCAGATTAACATAAACATATTACAAGCGAATGATGTCTCTCGATGTGTTCAGTTCGTGTATCATTGATGTCACATCCGTTCATAATTCCACAAAAAACACTGACCATCAGTATATCCAAATCATAGCAGGTGGGGTTTTAAAGTGCACGATCGACGGTGGTCGGCGAAATTGAAAGCGGATCTGAAAGCGTGAGAGCTACTGTTTTTAACAAGTACGAAAGTACAACTATTTCCGCATGCGAGTAGAAATCTACAATCAACAGGACACCAAAGTGACTTCTTAACTTGGGAGAAGGAGTTTTTACTAGCTTTCTTCTTAATTCACAGTCCACCAAGGGCAAAATTTATTTACCCAACCATGGCAAAATGTACGTACATTTAAACGTTGAACAAGTTTTCTACAGGAGACCAGCGGCCCATCCACGGGCTCATCAACGTCGACAAGACCAGGTCGTGCCACTCCAACCCGTGCCCTGAGACTTCGAGCTCCGGCAAATTCGCCCGCCGGGCAGTCGGCGTCGGGACCGGCGATATTTCTACGCCTTTCTTCACTTCCTCTTTCTTCGCCACGAGCTCGTTTTCATGTACGCGGCCTAAGTTATTAGCTCGAGAGTTGCGATCGAGTTCGGAGGGTGATACGGTGCCTGCGGTCGTCGTCGACGCGAAAGCGTCGAGGTTCGCCATCGCCGCTCGTTGCTCTAGCACCTTCATTGGGGTCGCCTTCCGGTATATCTTGCATAAAACTATGCCCTCCTGCATGCATATCGATATTTCAATCTCCTAAATACTACAAACTGCGAGCTGGACAATGCAACGTAGCATTTTCGGTATGGGTGAGCAATATTTGGTACAAAATGATTAAACCGATCAGACCGACTCAATGCCCAATTTGGGATCGGATCCTCTACGATCTTGATTGTAGGGGAAGCCTACAATAATTGACTGTAGGGATTAATGCTATTGGTTTATCTCAATGGGTCTCGCAATTGACTCGTTTTTGTGATTTGAGTCTTTTCTTCCTGTCATGATAACTCTTTTTTTTTTTTTTTTTTTGAGTAAGGTCGTGTTTAGCAATCACTTGAAAACTGGGCCAAGTTCAATCCTGACATGATTCTACTCTAAACAGGTTTATAATGTTGGACCACCACACTTGGCCCAACACCAAATTTGTTTTATGGCATCTTTTTGGCGAACGAATAACTGGGCCAAACCGTGGCCCAGTTATTCGCCGAGTATAAGCAAATACAAAACATGGCTCGGTCAAGTGCGGATCCAGTTTTAAGAGTTTGTCAAAGAAAAATATGTCGTACCGTTGATAGAGGATTCTGTGAGGATGTCTCAGGAAGACTGTACTCGTTCATGACCCAGTCCGTTTTGGCCCCATGAGGAGCCCGGCCCATGTAGAAAACTAGTGTCTTCTTATGCCCTATAAGATGTTTTGGGCCGGTCGTGTTGAAAATGGGCTGTTCTTTCCCTGTGGCCTTCCAGAATCCATTCTTGGTGGTCCGGCTGGGCCTACCGCGGGTCGATTGCCTTGGATCCCTGACCACAAAGAAGTACCACTCTCTTTCTCCTATCTTCGCTAACTCTGGCAATTAAAACTAAATTCAATTAGATTTCGAATGCTGACAGCTATTTCCTAATAACTTCAATTCTTGATGTTAAAAGTAGGGATTCGGATCCTCTCCACTACCTAAAAAGTAGTGGACGGTCCACTACATAATCACAATCATTAATTATCTAGTTGATGGTTGTGAGTTTTTCTTTGAGTGCAAAATAGGAACGAGTGTAATACACGGGGCTATGGTGAGTATTAGATTTAGATTATATCATAACCGCCTACTAATTAATCAACGATTGAGATTAAAAGTAGTGGTCTCTCCACTATTTTTTTGTGATGGAGAGGATCCAAATTCTAAAAGTAGTATGAGAGCAAGCATCCTAATGGTCATGATGACAGCTATACTTTCCGTTAATTTTTAAACCCATGCGGGGATCGCGTTACGGTCAGAATTAAACATTGGTCAAGAATTTTTTTTCATATCATCGCTGCACCAAAGGTTCTATCCACTGATAAATAAAATAGAACATAAGTAATAAATAGCTAAACTAACCATCATAGTGCATAGAATGAATGTATAATTAGTCCTTTATAATAATAAAAAAAAACACAAATGAGTGATTGAGTTGGTACCTGGGAGCTCCCAGGGATCAAAGCGGTAGAGGTGGATGGTTCCAATGATATCTAAATTTAGCTTCTTGCCGAGGACCATGCGTCGGAGATAGAAGTTGAGTAGCTCCTCCTCGGTCGGGTGGAACCGGTAACCCGGTAGGTCTAGCTCCGACCCGCTTTCATCCATCGCCGGATTGTAAACAAATTGAATTAATTTGTTGCGAAGATTGTTCGGTCTAAAAATTTGGACTGAAGAGCTATATAAACCCTTGTTCTTTGGCTTTACATTATGAGGTGAGGGGAGCACATATATAATACAAGGATTAAGATGTCTTGAAGGGCCCACACGGTTGGAAAACAAGAGGAAAATTGTGGAAATTCCCTACATTTTGTCCTTGAAAGCTCTCAAACTGACTTTTAGTATCATAAGGAATGACAAGCAGGACCAACTGTGTTTGGTTCTGCATATAAAAATTGGTTATAAAGTGGATATAAATGAGATTTTTTTTGTGTGTTTGATAGGGACGTATGCGGAAATTGTTGGGTTTAATCTAATAAATCTATTTGTGGGCACATATGATTAATCAATGTGTATTGCTATCTTTCAGGATAACTCACTAAAGTGATCAATTAAGTTGGGTTAATTTGGTATTTAAATAAGTCATGGGGTTATATGTGCAGATACCAGATTGTAATTATGATTTATTGAGGGGCTAAATTACAAAAGTACAACATCTATAAATAAGGGGTTATGGTCCCTAACCTAGGGTTACATTCTCTAATTCTCTTCACCCCCATCTAAGAGAAAAATTCGGCTAAAGGAGAAAAACCATAAGGTTAGAAGATCCAAAACCCAAAATCAAGATCAATCTATGGATTCAGGTATAAGCTTCCGCTCTTTTTAGATTTTTGTTAATCTCTTTGAATTAATCATGACTATATGGTTTTAGATCTCAAGTTTTGATTTAGATCTAACAAGTGGTATCAGAGCCTCCTTGATTAATTCTTAGGGATTTAAGTTTTATTGGGTTTTTGATCTTAAATCTCTGGTTAAAGATTCAGTTTTGTTCTCGGATGAACAGTAATGGTCGATGAACAGTAGCAAAAAAATTTTCGGATGAAAAGTAAAGTTTTTTCGAATGAACAGTAACCGAAAAATCACCGGTGAACAGTAACTTTTTGGAATTTTTTGGATTTTTCTTTGATTTTTTTCTTCAATTTTTTTCAATTCTGGATCTGTTTTGAAAATAAAAATCAAAGATTTTTGGGTTTGTCGGCGGCGGTTTCAATTTGAAACCCTAAGGGTTCGTGCGTGCGTGAAACGTGGCGAACATTAAGGAGGTAGTTACCTCAAATTTTGGCGAAACGGTAAGCTTCAAACGAACCTCGCGTTCGTTCAATTTTAACCGAGCTTCGCGCTCAACGAACCTCGCGTTCGTTCTAAAGTGAACCTCGCGTTCAACTCAGGTGAGCGTCAAGCTCAATTTTAACGAACCTCGCGTTCGTTCTAAGGTGAACCTCGCGTTCAACTCAGGTGAGCGTCAAGCTCAATTTTTAACGAACCTCGCGTTCATTCTCAAGTCGAACCTCGCGTTCGTGCTTCAGACGAACCTCACATTCGTGCTTCAGTCGAACCTCGCGTTCGTGCTTCAGTCGAACCTCGCGTTCATTTTTTTTAACAAACCTCGCGTTCGTTCACGAACCTCGCGTTCATCTTTTTTAACGGAGCTCGCGTTCGTTCTCAAACGAACCTCGCGTTCGTGCTTAAGTGAGTCTCGTACTCAATACAGTCGAACCTCGCGTTCGAAGTTAAGGGAACTTCGTGTTCATTATGGTTAAGCCTCGGCTTTTCATGGGTCCACTTTGGTATACTTAATTTATTCAATTAAGTTATGGGCCCTAATTAAGCTGTGAGACCCCAATTAAGTTTTTGGAAATTCAGTTGATTTAAATTAAAACTTTTTAATTTAAATCTAATTTGGTTTTTAATCAATTATTTAATTCAAATATTATGACACTAAGGTATTAAGGTTGTCTCTCACTCCAATTGATTAATTGAAACAAGAAGTTGCCAAAGTAACCTCTCTTGTGTAGATTGTTCATGAGGAATGTGAGATGTTTGTGTGTATGCTTTCGTGTAAATATTTAATCGGCCCAAAGGAAGGTTAATATTTATTTAGACTGTATACACATCTGCGATGATAAGCGTGTGACAATTATAAGGTTTACATGTGAATAATGAATCGATCCAAAGATAGTTTCATTATTTGACATGAGTTATTGTCAATGTTTGATCATTGCAACAAGGTATCACTTACAAGTTAATATTACTGTCCAAAGACTTGATATTAATGTTGTGCCGGTATCTTGGATGGGGATTGTCATTATTTGAATTTTATTGATTATGGTTATTGATGTGAGCATTTTTGTTTTATTTCAGCTAATGCATCTGCTGCAACAATTTCTGCTAACATCAACTCAATTCCCATGCTAAATGGGACAAACTTCAAGGTTTGGAAAGAGAACATATTAATTGTTCTTGGCTGCATGGATCTTGACTATGCATTAAGAACTGAACAACCCCAACCTCTCAATGCGGATAGCACTCCTGATGCAAAGAAGGAGCATGAGAAGTGGGAGCGTTCAAATCGCATGAGTCTTATGATCATTAAGCGCGGCGTTCCGGAAGCCTTCAGGGGCATAGAATCCGAAGGGATTACTAAGGCTAAAGATTTCCTTGCCGAAATTGAGAAGCGTTTTGCGAAAAACGATAAGGTAGAAACAAGCACGCTTTTAGCTCGCTTGATTTCAATGAAGTATAAGGGCAAAGGAAATATCAGGGAGTACATTATGGAAATGTCTCATATTGCTTCAAAGCTTAAGGCACTTAAACTCGATCTTTGTGACGAGTTATTAGTGCATCTGGTTTTGTTGTCTCTTCCTGCACAGTTTAACCAATTTAAGGTCAGTTATAACTGTCAAAAGGAGAAATGGACTCTAAATGAGCTCATTTCATACTGTGTGCAAGAAGAAGACAGGTTGAAGCAAGATAAGACAGAAAGTGCTCATTTGGCCTATGCCTCTAAGGATAAGGGCAAGAAAAGGAAGAATGATAAGGAAGCTGCTAAGGGTCCAGTTGAGAAGAAACAACATAAGGATAATCAGGGTTGTTTCTTCTGTAAGAAGCCTGGACATGTAAAGAAGGACTGTACAAAATATCACGCCTGGCGTGATAATAAGGGTACGTTCCTTGCTTTGGTCTGTTCTGAGGTTAATTTAGCTTCAGTACCTAGAAACACTTGGTGGTTAGACTCTGGTGCTACTACTCACATAAGTGTTTCTATGCAGGGTTGCATGAGCTACCGAAAGCTAAGTGATGTTGAAAGACACATCTTTGTGGGCGACGGATAAACGGTAGATGTGGAAGCAATTGGGCACTTTAGGTTGTTGTTAGGAACTGATTATTATTTGGATTTGAAAGATACTTTTGTAGTTCCGTCTTTTAGACGGAATTTAATTTCTGTTTCTGTATTGGACAAATCAGGTTATTCATGTTCATTTGGAAACAGTCAATTCAGTTTATCTTTTAATTCAAATGTTGTGGGAACCGGTTACTTAAGTACTTATGACAACCTATATTTGCTCAATACAATTGCTTCTTATAATGAATCCTTGCATGTGGAATCACGTGGTACTAAGCGTAAATTAAATAAGAAAAATTCGGCGACATTATGGCATAAGCGCTTAGGTTATATCTCAAAAGGTAGAGTTGAGCGTCTTGTGTCTGATGGTATTTTGGATTCCCTTGATTTTTCGGACTTCAACGTATGTGTTGAATGTATCAAGGGAAAACAGACCAAAGTGAAGAGATTAGGTGCCAACAAATCTTCGGATTTTGTGGGCCATTCCCTATGGAATCCTGGAATGGTCAACAATATTTTATATCATTCATAGACGATTACTCACGTTATGGGCACCTATATCTTATTCATGAAAAATCTGAGTCTCTGGACATGTTCAAAGCCTATAAAGCTGAAGTTGAGAATCAACTCAACAGAAGAATTAAAACCGTCAGATCTGATCGTGGTGGAGAGTACTATGGTAGATATGATGGTTCAGGTGAACAAGGTCCAGGACCGTTTGCTAGATACCTAGAGGAATGCGGTATCGTCCCACAGTACACCATGCCGGGTTCACCTAGCATGAATGGTGTAGCTGAAAGACGAAATAGGACTCTTAAGGATATGGTAAGAAGTATGATTGCTCATTCTTCTTTACCAGAGTCACTCTGGGGAGAAGCACTTAAGACAGCAGCTTACATTCTGAATAGAGTACCAAGTAAAGCAGTTGCTAAAACACCTTATGAGCTTTGGACTGGTCGAAAGCCCAGTTTAAAGCATTTACATATTTGGGGATGTCCAGCTGAGGCAAGGCCTTATAGGCCAAATGAAAAGAAATTGGACTCCAAAACAGTTAGCAGCTACTTTATTGGATACTCTGAACGCTCTAGGGGCTATAAGTTTTATGATCCCACTATAAGGAATATTTTTGAGACGGGAACAGCAACATTCTTTGAGGATGTTGAGTTTGGGGGGAGAAATAAGGTTAGAGACATTAGTTTTGAGGAGGAATTGGCTTCAGATCCAATCCATACAGTTACTTTTGACAATATTCAGGTTCCTATACCTGTTGTTGCTCAAGAAGTAAATCCGGAACCTCAAGATGATAATGTTGAACAACTCCCTGTTCCAGAAGAACAAACTCAACAACCTCAAGAACCAGTGCCATTAAGGAGATCCACGAGAGAAAGGAGAAATGCTATTCCGGATGATTATATTGTATTTCTCCAAGAACATGAGGAAAGTAGTGGAATGTTAGAAGATGATCCAATCAACTTCTCTCAGGCCATGAAAAGTTCTAACTCTCAACAGTGGATTGATGCCATGAATGAAGAGTACAAGTCTATGCAAGACAATAAGGTTTGGGAACTTGTCCCATTACCAGAAGGTGCAAAACCAATTGGTTGTAAATGGATTTTTAAAACCAAGCGGGATGCAAACGGTAATGTGGAGAGGTATAAGGCACGTCTTGTGGCTAAAGGCTATACTCAAAAGGAAGGCATTGATTATACAGAGACTTTCTCTCCGGTTTCATCGAAAGACTCTTTCAGAATAATCATGGCACTTGTGCACAAGCCAAACGTGAG